CCTGTACACACGCCTCCTGTGCACACACCTCCCATACACAGGCCTCCCGTGCACACTCCTCCCCTGCACACACCTCCCGTGCACACTCCTCCTGTACACAGGCATCCCATGCACAATCCTCTGGTGCACGCTCCTCCCATGCACACGCCTTTCCCGGTCCTGTGCCAAGGCCCCCGTGACTTGTTAGGCTGTGATTGGTCCTTGACCCTGGACTCCCAGGGAAAAAATGCCCAGATAGCAAACTCTGGTATATGGGATCACAGAACATTCTAGAGCCCACAGTCAGTCCTACCTCCCTCATCATGGGCAGGCCGGAAGGCCTTTGACTAAGGTGTTCCCCTGTGGACGCACTGGTTTCTCTGGTTTTATCAGTGTTGACACCTGTGGATCCCCCTCCTACACCCTGGGCAACACGCCTCTGGCTCCAAACTCCTTGCTGATTTGTTTGTTTGTTTTGCCAGTCCTGGAGCTTGAACTCAGGACCTAGGCACTGTCCCTGAGCTCCTTTTGCTCAAGGATAGCAGTCTACCACTTTGAGCCACAGCACCACTTCTGTTTTTTTCTGTGTATGTGGTACTGAGGCATGGAACCGAGGAATTCATGTGTGCTAGGCCACCAAGCCACCTTCCCAGCCCCATGGTGTGATCCTTTCATATAAGAAATTATTATAGGATTTTTTTCTACTGGTCTTATGGCTAGAACTCAGGGCCTGGATACTGTCCCTGAGCTTTTTTGTTCAAGGCTACCACTCTACCACCTGAGCTGCAGCTCCACATCTGGTTTTTGGTGGTTAATTGGAAGTGAGAGGCTCACAGACTTTCCTGCCTGGGCTGGCTTCAAATCTCGGTCCTCAGACCTCAGCCTTCTAAGTAGTGTTCCAGTTAGTTTTGGGATTGGATTTCATTTTCTGCTTGAGTTGGTATGGTTGGTTATCTTATTTACAGTTTAAAAAATTGCGTCAGTTATTATGGCCTGGGTATTACCCCTTAGCTTTTTTGCTCAAGACTAGTGCTCTACTATTTGAGCTATAGCTCCACTTCTGGTTTTCTGGTGGTTTGTTGGAGATAAGAGTCTCATGGACTTTCCTGCCCAAGCTAGCCTTGAACATGATCCTCAGATCTCAGCCTCCTGAGTAGCTGGGATTGCAGGTGTGAACAACCTTCTAACCTTTCTTCTGTAAACAACAACAGTACAACCCAGCCAGCAGTGAGATGTCGGCAAGGTGGTTGTCTTCCCTCACCGGGTAACGGGCAAATTTACTTCATGCACGTCCTGTAATGTGGCATGGGGATGGCAGCATGTGCTTGTCCCGCGAAGTGGGCCAGCACCCTTGACGCGCTGGTCCTAAGCAAGCAGCTTTACGGGGTGAAGGCCGTGGCACGCAGAACTCAGCATCCTACGCGCAGCCTGGTGTCTAGCAGCCGACCTAAGCACACTCTCCACCAGGAGAATTCAGACGGGGAGCAAGTCCGCGGGCAGAGCTGGCTGGGCGCTGCCAGTCTGCATCCGGAGGCGGGCGGCAAGCACGGCTGTGGAGTGTGCATCGCATGTCCACTCTACATGTCCAGTAAGAGAACGTGAGAAAACGAGCTATGAAAGCAGCCCTGAGTAATACTTCTAGAGACGGAAAACGTGCTGAGTCAGATCGGTGGTCGGTGAGATGTGGCAGGAGAGGCCAGTGGACTGGAAGACACAGTGCGTGGCACAGAGCCCTTTGCTAGGTGGAGGGCAGACAGCCAGGGACACACAGGCCGGCCACGCCCCGTCAGAGGAGCAGGGAGGCGGGGCTCTGGGAAGGAGGGGTGTGGGGAAACAAACATGGAAAAGGTAGCTTCAGTCATTCTAATTTGGTGAAAACTTGTATCTGAGAAGCACAACGAACGTCCAGCTGAAGAAACCATAGGAAGACCTTACAAGCACACACAGGCTTCTGGGAGCCGCCCAGGAAAATCTCAAGAGGACTTTGCTTGCTGCTTTTTTGTTGTTGTTGTTGTGGGGCTGGAGCTCTGGGCCTGGGCGCTGTCTCTCAGCTCTTCAGCTCAAGGCTAGTGCTCTACCACTTGAGCCACAGCGCCAATTCTCGCTTTCTGAGTGGTTTTTATTGGAGATAAGAGTCTCATGGACTTTCCTGCCCTGGCTGGCTTTGAACCTCCGTTCTCAGATCTCAGCCTCCTGAGTAGCTAGGATGACAGGCGTGAGCCACCGGCACCCGGCTTGGCTTGCTTCTTAAAAGCTGCCAGAGGCAGCATCTTGTTGCATACCAAGGATCAGAGATGAAAATTAAAATAAATTCTCTCATAAATCATGCAGTCCAAAGGCAATGGACAGACAGACAGACAGACTGATGTCTTCAACATGTTGGAGGATAGCCAGGCATGGAGGTGCAGGCCTGTCATTCCAGCACCTGGTGTTGGAGACAGGAGGATGATGGTTCAAGCCCAGCCTAGGCTATGTATTGAGACCCTATAACTAATAACAATAAAATTGAAAAATAAGGTACTGAGCAGCCAAGGTCTGGGGCTCAGTGGAGAGTGATGGTCTGGCGTGGAAATTCCCTGCCTGAAATACCTAAAACGAAAGCATCCACAGTGAGCATTCAGAAGCTGTGGCGTTCACTACTTCATGTCTTTGGTTTTTAAGATAACGTTTTGGTGTATAGACCAGGGTGGCCTTGAGCTCCCTTCCTCCAGTCTCAGCCTCCTGTCTGCTGGGAGGTGTGCAGGAGCTCCTTACCCTATAGAACACTAAGTAGAAATGTACCATCGCTTAAATATCAAAGCGAAAGCCTTGCGGCTTGTAGAAGAAAAGCCAGTCACTGTGATGCTAGCACCAGACCGCAGGGCGCCGGGCGCCGGGCGGTGCAGGCTGGCGTGGGCCTGCGGGAGCCAGGGGACAGCTCGCCACGCCACGCGAGCGAACCCGCTCGAACCTGACACTGCGCTCAGCGAAGAAACAGGTGGCCGCCAGCAGCCTGACTGTTTTCTCTTCTCCTGGAGCCCCAGGTTCAGGGGTGCTGGTGGTAGGGGTGGGGAGTGGGGGGAGGTGGGGAAGTTCTGGAACTGGTAGAGGCAGGGGCCGCCCAGCACGGTGCGTGCTCGGAGCTGCCCGGCCGGGCGTCACTCGTGGTGAAGATGGAGAGATTTCTGTGCATTTTACTGAAATTCCGTTTCTTTTTGGCGGTTCTGGGGTTGAACTTTCCCCCACAGTTTACTGTACGTGGGCAAAGGCGTTTGCTGACTGGACTCCAGCGGCTCCGGCTCGGGTGTGGGTGAGGAGGGGCAGTGGACGGCTCGGGCTCGGGTGTGGGTGAGGAGGGGCAGTGGACGGCTCCGGCTCAGGTGTGGGTGAGGAGGGGCAGTGGACGGGGCTCTGGACATGACCTCTGGCCTCTCAGGCAGTGGGAGGCCTCCCTGCCCGGCCCAGGACCCCTTGGTGTTTGCTTCTGCTTGTGGGGTGCCCCCAGTGGGGAGAGACAGCTAATGCACAGAAGGCTGTGCCCCAAGCCCCACCTGGCCCTCCAGACCCCATCACAGCTCAGCCGTGTCTCCCTCCCAGGCCCCTGAGAGCCACCTCTGCTGACCCTTCCGAGGACAGTCGCCGCCAGCCCTGCTGACCTGTGCCTCGGTGAGTGAGCGACGCTTGTGTTCGTCTCGGCGGGGGAGGGGAAGCCTGGGGCAGCGCCCACCGGAGCGCCCTGCTGAGCAGCAGTTGGTGGGGCTGTGAGCTCTGGGGCTGGGACTGGCCGTGATAGGTGCGCTTCCCCTCCCCTCCCCTCCCCTCCCCTCC